AGGCCAGCCCTGGTCTCTTGGTGTGGTTTGTTTTATCGTGTGTGTTCTTTATGTAGCTTCCCTATGGTTGCCTTCACATTAATGTGACTAATGTGTAATTCATTTGATTAATACTTTCTACTTTTGTTAGAACAAGGGCTTTGGCTAAGAAAAGTGGGACTTGCTTTTCTGCTTTGGGCTCTGGGCTACCTCCTGGCCAGTAGTGAGGAGTGGCCAGCAGTCAGAAAGGTGATTTTTGTCTCAGAGGAGTGGCTTGAGGGTAGCCTTCTGCTTCCCTTCCCTCCTTGCTGCTGATTTGGCAGCAGTTGCCAAAAAGTGTGTGTGTGTGTGTGGGCGAAGCAAGCTGAATGGCTCTCTGGGAGCCATTTATTTGAGAACTCCCAGTGGAGAAATGTATTTTCTTCTCCCTTTTCTCTTGCTGTGGTGTAGGTTCTTGTGATTTGGTACTGCTTGTATTTCTGCAATATTGTAACCTGTGGGTGACTCCTCTAGCTTTGTTGGGGGTTTGCATAGTGGTGTTTCCCACAAGTGTCATCACCTTGTTGGGAGGGTGGCAGAGTATATTAACAGTGAGGAGCCAGTTGAGCCATTGTTTCTGACGCTGTGGCCTCTGAAGGTGTGATGAGATGAGCTGCATTTCCTACTGGGTCTGGGACTGGGCAGTTGCTGCAGTTGTATTTAGCAGTAAGAGTCATACTAGAGGCTTGGTTGGAAAGGAGAGAGCACTGTGTAATTACTGCTTATGTACCGGTTAAACCTATCAGCCAACAGATGTCAAGTGCAAGAAAAAGTGCAGTAATGTTATTATAATGGTATAATAGTTATCATTATAATAATCAGCTGGCATAGCTTTTGATAAGAGGCAGATCCTGAGATGAGTACGGGGGAAGGGTTAACCTTGAACTGCAGCACAGTGAATGGATGCTTTAGCTTGAGATGATGCTCAGTAGATGTGATGATTCAGGTATGGAGCTGCTACCCTCTGCATAAAGTGTGGAGACTGCAGCTATGGAGTCGGCCCTGCAGGAAATGTGAAGGAGCATACCCTCATTTGGCTTAAGGTCTCAGAATTTTAGAATTACCACCCACTGCCCAGCAGCAGTGGATACTGGAACAGGTAGAGCCTTCGTCTGTGTGGGCTCACTTGGGATTGTCACATAGTCATCCAGTCATCCTCTAGCTGTAAATGCTGAATGCTGCTCCTCTTAGCTATCTGTGCCTAGGAAGTAGGGTTCATTTACTTTTGCACACAGGGGGTCGTTGTGGCTGTTCTCAGGGAAGACAGGCTTTTCTTTGCCTGAGACTTGCTGGGGGTGTCATTCCCAGTTCTGGTTTGAAGGTAATAGTGAAGGGTGAGGAGCAGATAGTAGGGGAAAAGAGTCTTTGGATTTGGTGTCTGCCCTGGGCATTAAGTGGCTGTTGGACAAGTGCTCATCTATGTCTCATTTGGTTTGCACTAACAATCTGTTTATAAGGTTTCTGGCACTGTGCCTGGCACCAATTTGTGCTCAGCAAATATTTCCACCTTCTCTCATTCTTCTTCCATTTGCTCAAAAGGACTGAAGGGTGGAGAGACGTTCCTCCTGCTTCTACAGGGGGAATTTGGGCTTCATGTATTTTATAAGGTCTTATTTATTTTAATTGCAAAGTCAGACATACAGAGAGAAGGAAAGACAGAGAGGAAGATCTTGCATCCGATGATTTACTTCCCAAGTGACTGCAACGGCCAGTGGGAACCTCCAGGTCTCCTATGTGGGTGCAGGGTCCCAAGGCTTTGGGCCGTCCTTGACGGCTTTCCCAGGCCACAAGCAGGGAGTTGGATGGGAAGTGGAGCTGCTGGGATTAGAACCGGTGCCCATATGGGATCCTGGTGTGTTCAAGACGAGGACTTTAGCCACTAGACCACACCGCCAGGCCTGAATTTTGGCTTCAATTAGAGCTTTATATGAACTTCTGTATGCACTAAGAACGCTTTTCTGAGCTGTGATCTATAGACCTCCTTTGAACCTGGGAAATTTTGAGGGTTAATGTTTGGATGCATCTCTTTTAAGAGAAAAATAGTATTTAAAATCCCTTACAGGGGGAACAAGGAGAATGGTTATTTGGGTTATCTGTTAGGATGCCCACATCCCATTCTGGAGTGCCTGAGTTTAATATGTGACTCTCAGCTTGTTGTTAATGCAGACCTTAGGCAGCAATAGTGATGACTCAAGTAACAGGAGTCCTGCCAATCACATAGAAAACATGGATTGAGTTCCTAACTCCAGGCTTTTACCTGGTATAGTCCTGACCGTCGTGGGCATTTAGGGAGTGAATGGGAACACCCACTTTCCCCTCCTTTCCATTCCCCTTCGCTACCCTCCTCCTATCTGTCTGTCTCATTAAAACAACAAAAAGAAAAAAATTCCTTGGGGCCAGTGTTGTAATGGCAGCAGGATAGACCGCTGCCTGCAATGCCAGTATCCCATAGGAGTGCTACTTTGAGTCCCTGCTGCTGCATTTATGATCCGACTCCCTGCTAGTGTGCAGGGGAAAGCAGCAGAAGATGGCCCAAGTTCTTGAGTTCTTGCACCCATGTGGGAGACCCAGTGGAGTTCCAAATTTTTGCTTTTAGCCTGGCCCAGTCCTGGCCATTGTGGCCATTTGGGCATTAAATCTGCTGATACAAGATTGTCTTTGTAACTACTTATCGAATAAAATAATTCAGCCTTAAAAGAAAAAAGCTTTAAGTCCTTACTTCTGCTTCAGACCCCTCCCCTTTTCCTTTGGGTGGGTCACTTGAGGGCACTGCCTACACAAGGATCACTCATTTCTGGCATGGGCTGCTGGCTGTTTGGTTCATTGTCTTTCCTAGCTACAGGTTTCTGTGTTAATATCTGGGTGGGTTTTTTGCTGTGGGCTTTTATTTTGAAAGCCTAGAGCCCTGACAGGGTGATATCTTTTTAGATTGTTTTTGGCAGTAGGCCAACTTATCACTATGACTACCACCTGCCTGCATATTGGTAGGACGTGGAAGGTAACTTCTATAAAGAATTTGGCCAACAGGGTGAGTGCAGGAGAAAGACTAGTTTGCCTTATGTTCACATGGAGAGAATAGCTTCTCTAAGTAGGACCTTTTGATTTGGACAGAGCCTCATTTCCCTTTCCTTTGAAATGTTGTTGTTTTAGCAAAATTTGTATGTAAATATATAACATTTTTGTATTCATATAAGGTATATTTTATAAATATATATTTATAAAAAGATGTAATTACATTCCAGAAACTGTCTAGGTTCAGATATGATTCCTGCTTAGAGTAAGTATATAGATACTTATAACCATCAAATTAGGATCACACCCATAAATGTAAAACTGCAGCTGTGATAAGTGGATAGAAAGGAATATGGTATAATGTACACATCAGACAGGGATTTGGCCTGGTCCTGGGGTTATTAGGGAGGCTTCCTGGAGGAAATGATGTTTGAGTTAAGTTGTGAAGAGCAAATAAATATTTATTGTGCAAGGCAACATGAGGTTGAAGAGCTTTTTAGCTCAGGGCCCAAGCTTTTTGCAAAGGTTTCAGGGGTGGACTTGGGCAGGAGTATGCTGATGGACTCAGTGTGTAGCTGGGACCTAGAAAATGCAGGGAGATGAGCTATGGGATCTCAAGAGGCTGAAAGGGTTAGCAAGGGCAGGTTTGGGCAGCCAGCCATGCCAGGGCCTGTTGTGCCTACTCGAAACACAGGGGAAGGCTCTAGAGAGTCATTGGTGGTTGCTGTGAATTTGCAGTAGTAGCAACACATAGTACATAGATGGGTTTTGGTGAGCGAGTGAGAATGATGATCAGAAAAGAAGCAGTAACAGATGGTTTGTTCTCCTTCAGTCAGTTGAGAGGTAATCTTAAGACTGACCCCCAGAAGTGTTGCCTAGCTCCTCCTGGTTTCTCACTCAGGGCCTGTCGTCAGTTTATTGTTAAGGCTGTTTGGCAACTCAGGAGCGACAGCCCAGGTTGTCAACATCTGGCATTTTCCACCTGCCTAGAAAGGGTCCTGGAGGTTTCAGGCTGGTCACTTGTTAATGTCCGACAGCTACAGAGCCCTTTCTAAATTGCCATGTCACCATCCCTCCAATATCTGTCCTGCTGAATGGGGGCTACCCCTTTGATCTTGGGCTGCTCAAATTGTTGACACTGGTGATTCAGTGGCCAAGTTAGCAAAGCCAGAGCCTATGATCTGTCTAACGTTAGGTTCTGGTTGCTGTAGGTATGCACATGTTCTGTCTTAGCAACAGCCAGTGTCCGTAGGGCTGGAGTTTTTCTTCCACTGTATAGCCAGAAACACTGAGTTCAAGAGGGATTAGGGCTAGAGTCTATGCTGTCAGTCCATGTGTTAGTGCTATTTCAGACTCTGTATCAGAGTGCAGCCTCAGTCAGTGGTACTATGGTTCCTTTCACGTATCTGTGGAAAGTCTTGCTGTGTAGCTGAAAGAAGCATGGCCTTTAGCTGGAGACTCAGCTTTACCAATTAGATGCTGTGTGAATTTTCACAAACCCCTAATTTTCTCAGCTCTAAATAGGAGATAATGATAATGCCATGGTCTTGAGTGTGTGTCTCCCCCAACCTTCACATTCACATATTAAATCCTAATCTCCACAGTAGTTGTATTAATTGGTAGAATCTTGGGGCTGGTGTTGTGGCACAGGGGGTGAAGCTGCTGCCTGTGATTCTTTTTTTTTTATTTATTTAAAGAGACTTATTGATTTTTTATTGCAAAGTCAGATATACAGAAAGGAGGAGAGACAGACAGGAAGATCTTCCATCTGATGATTCACTCCCCAAGTGACTGCAACGGCTGGTGCTGCACCGATTCAAAGTCAGGAGCCAGGAACCTCTTCCAGATCTCCCACATGGGTGCAGGGTACCAAGGCTTTTGGCTGTCCTTGACTGCCTTCCCAGGCCACAAATCAGGGAGTTGGATGGGAAATGGAACTGCCGGGATTAGAACCGGTGCCCATATGAGATCCTGTTGTGTGCAGGGTGAAAATTTTTAGTCACTAGGCTACCACGCTGGACCCCTGCATTCATTTTTAAGAGTGAATATTTTCAATTAGCAATAATCACCCCTCAAGTAAACCTTATTGGCTACGATACTGCCACTGCGCAAAGATAAGAGTGAATATTGAACTCTTTTAATTCTGTTAATATTTGCTTCATGGATTTTGATAGTCTGTTGTTAAATGTTTATAATTATTGTATACTGCTGTATTGATATTTTTACATATGATCTAAGCTAAAAGGCTGAGAAGCAATTTTTATCAATATGTAAGGTTCTCATTTATATCTTACTACTAAAAAACTTAAATCTATTTTGTCTGATTTTTTTTAAGATTATTTTTTGTTTGTTTGTTTCAGTTGGAAAGACAATATATATTGGGGAGGAGAGACAGAGAGGAAGATCTTCCATCTGATGGTTCATTCCCCAAGCGGCCACAATGGCTGGTGCTGAGCCAATCTAAAGCGAGGAGAGCCAGGAGCCTCCTCCAGGTCTCCCACGCGGGTTCAGGGTCCCAAAGCTTTGGGTCGTCCTTGACTGCTTTCCCAGGCCACAGGCAGGGAGCTGTATGGGAAGTGAAGCTGCCGGGATTAGAACTAGTTCCCATATGGGATCCCGGCGCATTCAAGGCGAGGACTTTAACTGCTGCACTATTGTGCTGGACTCTATTTTGTCTGATGTTAGTATAGCCACCCTACTTTCTTTTGGTTATCATTTGCTTGAAATAGCCTGTTTCGTTCTATAACTTTTGACCTGTTCATGTGTTTGTATCTAAAGTGAGTCTCTTTGCCAGTGTTGTGACAGTGAGTTAAGCTGTCATGTATGGCATTGGTACAGCAGCTGGTGCACTCATCCAGCTTCCTCCTCATATGCCTGGAAAAACAATAGAAGATGGCCCAAGTACTTGGGCAACTACCAGCTGGGTGTAGTTCCTGTTCTTAGTTCCTGACATTGCCTGGCCTAGCCCGTGTTGTTATTGCTGTTAGGGAAGAGAACCAGAAGATGGAAACTTCTTTTCTCCTTCTCTCCCTCCTCCCTCCTCCCTCCTCCTCTTCTCTCCTTTCCTCCCTCTTTCCCTCCCTCTCTGTTTCCCTCTGTCACTGTGCCTTTGAAATAGATTCTCACAGGCACATAGTTGGAGCTCCTTAAAAAATCCATTCTGCCTGTTTCTGTTTTTTGATAGGAGAGTTTAATACATTTACATTGAAAGTAATTACTGATAAGGAGGAAGTTACTTTTCTCATTTTGCAATGTGTTTTCTATATGACTTGTTTTTTCTTTCATTTGCTGTATTTTTGTGTTGTGTTCAGTTGATTTTTTTGTAGTGAAGCTTTTAAATTCCTTTCTCATTTTCTTTTGTGTATATTCTTTGTGATTCCATGGGGATTACTTTTAACATCCTAAAGTTATAGCACTGTGGTTTGAATTTATGCCATATTAACTTAATTGATACACAAAAGTGGCTCATTCAACAGCTGTTTCTCAATCCTTTCGGTTGTTGTTATAATATTACATCTTATATATCGTATGCCTAAAAGAATGCATTAGTCTCATAATCCATGTAGAAAACAAAATGTTATAAACCAAAATTACAATAATCCTAGCTTTTATGCTTTATCCTAGCCCGTGCATTTATCTTTACTGGTGTTGGTATTTCTTCATATAACTTCAGGTTACTCTACAGTGCCCTTTACTTTCAACCTATGCTGGGTAATAACCAACTTGTTAAGGTTTTGTTCATTTCTTCTTTGCTTTTTAAGGACAGTTTTCTAGATATAGGAATCGTGGTTGGCAGTTTTTGCTTTTAGCATTTTGAACATACTATCCTGCCGTCTTCTGGTTTCCAAAGTTTCTAATGAGAAATTTGCTTATGAGTTTACTGAGGATCCTTTGTAACATTTTGCTTCTTTCTTGCTCTTAAGATTCTGTCATTTAATTATAATATATTTTGGTGTGAATCTCTTTGAGTTCATCTTAGTTATAGTTTGTTTAGCATATTGGATACTTATATTGTATATCAACTTTGAGAAGTTTTTGAATGTTTTTTTTTAAAAAGATTTATTTATTCTTCTTCTTCTTTTTTTTTTTTTTTTTGCAAAGTCAGATACACAGAAAGGAGGAGAGACAGAAAGGAAGATCTTCCATCTGATGATTTACCCCCAAGTGACTGTAACAGCCAGAGCTGCGCCGATCTGAAGCCAGGGACCAGGAGCTCTTTTGGGCCTCCCACATGGGTGCAGGGTCCCAAGGCCTTGGGCTGTCCTTGACTGCCTTCCCAGGCCACAATCAGGGAGTTGGATGGGAAGTGGAACTGCCGGGATTAGAACCGGTGCCCATATGGGATTGTGATGCATGCAAGGTGTCCTTGGCTGTTATTTCTTAAGGTGTTTTCTGTCCCTTCTGTTTGCTTCTGTTTCTGTGACTATGGACCATGGATATTGGACTTTTTGCACAGATTCCTTAGTCTCTTTCATATTTGTTCAGTCTTTTTCTTAAACTTGATCATTTCCATTATTCTACCTTCAAGTTCACCGATTCTTCTGCCTGTCTAAATATGCCTTAGAAGTGTTTTAGTGAATTTTTCGTTTCAGTGATTGTACTTTTCAGACTCTGAATTTCTTTTTTTAAAAAATATTTATTTATTTATTTTTTTTACAATCTTGACATCATTAGGGTAAAAAAGTTCAGGCACTACAGGAAGATGCACAAGACAATTAGTTCTGTATTGTTTCCTTAATATATCTGATGTAAAAGGGGATTTTAAGGGAGAAGCCTCACCCAGTCTCCCACCCACCCCAGGTCCCCGATGTGGGGCTTGCTCCAAGGGTCCTGTTCAAATGGTTTTGATAGTTCAGTAGTTCTGAATTGCTGCCTGAATCTTAAATTTTATTTAAATTTAGATCGTTTCTTGGTTGATTTTTTCCACTTAAAAAACATTATTGATTTTCTGCATACATTTCTTTAATTCTTTGAGATCATCATCTTTCATACACCTGTCTTGAATTCTTTGTTCAGTAGACTTGCCATCAGGTACTTTCTTTCTTTTTTTTTTTTTAAATAAACTTACTTTTTTTTTTTTAAGATTTATTTTTATTTTTATTGGAAAGGCAGATATACAGAGAGGAGAGACAGAGAGGAAGATCTTCCGTCCGATGATTCACTCCCCAAGTGAGCGCAATGGCCGATGCTATGCCGATCCGAAGCCAGGAACTTCTTTTGGGTCTCCCATGCAGGTGCAGGGTCCCAAAGCTTTGAGCCGTCCTCAACTGCTTTCCTGGGCCATAGACAGGGAGCTGGAAGGGAAGCGGGGCTGCAGGGATCAGAACCGGCTCCCATATGGGATCCTGGTGTGTGCAAGGCAAGGGCGTTAGCTGCTAGGCTACGATGCTGGGCTCTATTTCCTGTTTTCTTATATGTTTTGGTTTTGTTGTTGGGAACAAAACATTTGAATCTCCTACAGGGCTAACTCTGGAAATCAGGTTATCTACCTTCTCCAGAGTTTGCCTTTTTAAAAATTGTTGTAGTCTGCCACTGCCTATTTTCTGGGGATCATCTGCAGGTATAAAATGAGGTTGTGTCATGTCTTTTTGAGCCCATACCTGGATATGTAAGATAACTTTGAGTTTTCCTTATATATATTTGCTTTGTGATCAGAAGTAGCAGTCGGTGATCATGTCACAGATCTCCAGTATTAGGAAGGTAGGATTCTATTTGCATGCCCTGGCTTTTACAAGCTATGTGCAAGCTGCCATAGTATGTATTGTATCTACCCTGCTATGAAGGCAGGGATGGATAACTGCTTATGTGTTAAGATTTGAGACTGACAGGAATTAACTGCAATTTACCATCCAAGCCTTATGCTAGAAGTTGCAAACCTCTGATAGCATCCAAATATCCAAAGTAGTTAAGTAAGACAGATTCTGTTTGGATAACTTATTTTGGTGGGGAGATCAATTCCTTGTACTTCCTGTTTTACAGTCTCCAATGCAGTTCCTTATTAACTTTTTAACCTTGTCTCAGTTCTGTGACTCAATTTCTTCATTGGAGTAAGAGTACTTTCTCCTGTCTTCACCCCCATCCCCCAAGATTTATTTATTTATTTGAAAGGCACAGTTACAGAGAGAAAAAGGGAAAGAGACATCTTCCATGTGCTGATTCCCTCTCAAATGATGTTAACAGAGCCAGGCCAGTCCAAAGCCAGGAGTTACAGGAGTTAAATGACAGTTTTGGCTCACCAAAGCCAGGAGTTCCTATCTGGGATGCTGGTACTAAATGGCTTGTAGGTTTACCTACCATGCCATAGTGCTGGCCCCAAGGGTGTTTTGATGCCCACTTCTTGGGGTTATTATAATGAAATGAAATAATACATGTCACGTGAATGACATGTTGTTGATACTCACTGAATGGTGAAGATTATGATGCCTTGAAAGAATACAGTTTCAGAGTGAGACGAATTTCAGAATGGACTGTAGGGGCTGCAATTGACCAAGAGCTTGGGACTGTGGGGTTGGGTTTGCCTTGTCAGGGAAGTTCCTTGGGGAATGTGTTTGCAGTTAAGATTCTCTCTGGGGAAGATGAGTAACTGCTTTGAGTGAAACCTTTGCTCTCCCTGGAGAGCTGTCATGTTTTTTCTCTTTCAGGGGGATGGTGATGTCCTTAAAGCAAAAGGACTGAGATCCTTGTATCTTTTTAGTTGGATAGATCTAGGTCCCAGTTCCAGCTCTGGCATATGTGTGTTCTGTGGCCTTGGAGAAGTTACTTCCCTTCTCTCTGACCTTTGAGGACCTTGTCTGTGAAGTGGAAATGACATCTACTCATAATATTGAGTGAGGATTAAATATAACAATGAATGCTAAGCAGCTAAGTGCCCTTCACATAGTGCATATTAAGAAACTGATAAACTGCTCTGAATGTCTATGACCTGATAACATTTTTGAAAAGCCACCATGTATGTTGGTGTAAATTATCATCTCCCTCAATAAGTTTCTAAGGAATCTGTCCTTTCCCTTCCTCCATCCTATGATGGCTCATTATCACACTTAGAATCGACCCAAGTGCCTTACCTGTTGTTGAGCTTACACGTTCTGATTCCTGCCTGCCTTCTTCTTAGCAGCC